TTTGTTTTTCAAAACAGGCTCTTTTCAATACCTACAAAGAGGCATTAATCTTTGGAGATGAAGGCAATTATTCAGAATAAAAATTTTTCCTTGGGGAAAGCTTAGCTGTCTCCACATTATGATTTAATGAAATGATTTTTCAGCTGCTAACTTTGTCAAAAGGAGGGCTATTAGGATTTTAAGTTTAATAACTCTAGATCAATTCAGGGAAGATTGCCATCTTAATGATAAATCTTTTATGAATATGACACATATATCCATTTATTTAGGTTCTTTGTTAATGTTTCTTTGCAATATTTTATTGCTTTTAATAAAATATTTTAAAACATCTTTTATTAAACTTATTCCAAAATAATTTTCATGCTATTATAAATGAAGTTTTTAAAACATATAATTGGAGGCTGGGGATTTAGCTCAGTGGCAAAGCACCTGCCTGGCAAGCGCAAGGTCGTGAGTTTGGTTCTCGGTACCAGAGAAAAACCAAAAAAACCCCAACCAAACAAAAAAACATATAATTGTTCTTTCCAGTAGATAAAAGTACAGTATATTGTGTACTTTCTGTCTTGCATCTGCAGCCTTATCCAATTCAATTATTAGTGTTAGTGCATTTTTATGATTCTTACAGTTTTCCACATAGATTATTGTGTTCACTGCAGAGAAAATTTTATTTCTTCCTCTCTAACCAGTGGGCCATTTTTTATTCACCTTATTGCACTTGTGAATACCCTTGTTAGTGTTAAATAATAGTGATGACAGTGTTTTTTGAATTTATGTTGAGTCATTAATTTGAAGTTTTTCTTTATTTGTGATGCCTTTGCTTTAGTACTGAAAAGTACTGCTTCGTAGAATGAGTCTGAAAGTATTCATTCCACTAAATTTTCCCTAAGAATTTTGTAGGTGTGGTATTATCTTTTATGTAAATGCTTTATAAATTTCACGAGTGATTTTTTTTCTAGGCCTGGATTTTTTTGTTGAACTAAAGATTTTAAATGAGTACTCAGTTTACTTATGTAATATGGTATTGTTAAGTTTCTTGTTCTTGTGTAGTTTGTGTCTTTCCAAGTATTTGTCCACTTCTTTTATTTTGCCAAAATTTTTTCACTACTGAGGATTGAACCTAGGGTCTTGCTCCTGTGAGGTGAAAATTCTACCACTGAGCTACATCCTGGCCTTATTTTTAAACATTTTCTATTTTGAAAAAGGATCAGTTGGAAAGACTGACCTTGAACCTGTGATCCTCCTGCATCAGCCTTAGTAGCTGGGATTACAGGCATTTGCTACCACCTCCTGCTACTTAGTAAAATTTATTGGAGTAAATATTTCTTTGTTATCTTTAATTTCTGATGGCTTTATAGTAACATCTATCCCTGAATTCCTTATGTAGGAAATTTATATTCTTTATTTTTCCCTTGATCCTTCTAGATGAAAATTGATCAATTTTATTTAATCTTTCTACCCAGCTTTTGGTTTTACTGATTTTCTTTATTGTTAGTCTGTTTTTTTTTTTTTTTTGTTTGGTTGTTTCATTGATGTCTCTGCTCATTTTTATTATTGCTTTCCTTTGCCAGTTTGGGGATTAATTTGCTTTTTTATTTTTAATTGTATGATTTATTTATTTATTTATGTATTTGTTTGCTTGTAAAACAGGCTCTTATGTAGTTCAGGTTGGCTTTGAACTTACTATGTAGTCCAGGCCTCACACTTGCAGCAATCCTCTTACATTAGCTTCCCATGTGTTGGGATTACAGGCTCTAACCATTATGCCTGAAACTCTTCGATTTTAAAATTTTTTTGGATTTAGATGGAAGCTTAGGTCATTGATTTGAGAGTTTCCTTTATGTTCATTATAAAGTACCTTAATTACTCTTTTTTTTTCCACTAGTGTTTATTTAATAGTTGTAACAATTTATAAATGTTTGGAGAATTTTCTGGTTGTTATCAATTTGTAACAATTCCCCAATGGTTAGAGAACATGCTTTTTAGTGCAGCAATACTTTCAAGTGTTTTGAAGCTTTTTTTTATACCACTAAATATTCCTTTCTTAGTAATTGTTCCTGTCACAGTTTAAGAGAATATGTATTCTGTTATTTTTGAGTAGTGTGCTCTAAAAATGTTAATTAGATCAAGTTGACTGATAATTTTTTATGTAAGTCTTCATTATTACTGTTTTCTGTTTTCTATCAGTTATTAGAGATGTAGAAAACCCCACTATTAATTGTGGCTTTGTTTATTTCTCCTTGTAGTTTTTTTTTTTTTTTTTTCCCCCCAGTACTCAGGACTGAGCCCAGGGCCTCCACACTGACTTACATCCTTAGCTTTTAAAAACTTTTTTAGTTTTTGACAGGATCTCACAAAGTCACTAAGTTTCCCAGGTAGAACTCAGCTCAAACTTGTGATCCTCTTATTTTTTGCATTATGTATTTTTAAGCTTTCTTATTAGATACATAGATATTTAGGATTTTTGTGTCCCTTTGATGACTTGCTCATTTATTATTATGAAGTGACTATCTTAAATCATGGAAATATACTGTGTTCTCCAATGTAACTTGTTGGGGCTGGGGATTTAGCTCAGCGGCAAAAGCGCCTGCCTGGCAAGTGCAAGGTTGTGAGTTCGGTTCCTGGTACCACAGAAAAACCAAAAAAAAAAAAAAAAACAAAAAAACAATGTAACTTGTTTATATTAATATCTTTCTATGTATGTTTCAATTAGTGTTTACATGGTGTATAATTTGCTATGTTTTTGCTTTAAATTTATTTGTGTATATTAAAAGGAGTTTCTGTAGGCATCATATAGTTTATCTTGTTTTTTTTCTAAATCTGATGTTGACAATCATATTTTAATTGGGTTGTAAATACTATATACTTAGTGTGGTATTGTTGTGATTAGATTAAATCTACTATCTTGCAGTTTGTTTTTTAGTTATCTTACTAGTTCTTACTTTTCTCCTTTTCTTTTTGTGTTGCATTTTTTATGATTCCATTTTTATCTCCTTTTTTGGCTTATTAACTCTGGTTATTTAACTCTCCTATCTTGGCTTATTAACTCTGGTTTTTTAGTAGTAGTTGCCTTCTGGTTATACTTTATAGTATACATTTTTAACTTTCTATAATTTGCCTTTAATTAATTTTATTATGCTTTATTAAATAGCATAAGAACTTCACTAAAGTATGTTTTCTTCTCTGCTCCTCCTGGCCTCTGTGCTCCTATTGACATCATTTTACTTCTATATATGTCATAAGCCACAAATCCATTATTATTTTTACTTTAAATGGTTATCTTTTTGATATAACTTTTAAAAGTATTTTATATTTATTCATGTTTATTTCATATTTATCCAATGTGTATCACTTCTGGTGTTCTTTCTTGTTATGTACCCAGATTTCTATGTTTGTATACCTGGATAGCATCTGATATCATTTCTTTATTTAAAGTATTTCTTTACCATTCTTTTTGATGAAAATCTTTTAGGGATAAATAAATCCATTTCATTTTGAGCAGTATTCCAATATTTTCTACTGTTGCATTTCTTCTTCATGCTGTCAATTCCAACTATAATAGGCCATTTGATATTGATTCATGACTGAATAATTTGATATTTTGCCTCGTCCATGTCGTTTTTATTATAATTTGAATATTTCCATTGATATGTCCAAGTTTGCTAATCTTTAATAAAAAAATTTAAACATTCTATTTGATAGATCTTTCATATAGCTACTTACTGTAGTCAATATTTACCTTTTTCAGCATATTCAATATAGGATTATAAATGCTTTAAAATCTATAATTTATGTTTTCTATTCTATTTTTGGTTTTATTTTATTAATTGAATTTTCTTTCTATGAGTTTTTCCTTTTTTCTGAATATTTGATTGCATGTGATACGTTTGAATTTTACCTTTTTGGGCTCTAGAGGTTTTTGTGATTGCATAATTATTCTTGATCTTTGCTCTGAATGTAGTTAAGTTATATGGAAGAGTCTGTTAAGCGCAGGTTGATTTATTTTTCTTTATGCCTTATATTTTCTTTTATTATTTTATATTATATTACAGCCTTGTAATCACTTATATGTGAATATTTTTGGATTGTGGAATGAATCATCTCAGTCCATTATTTCTTACGGGGGAAATTCACTTGGATGTGCAAATGTTTTGGATTACAGTCATGTTTCTCAAATGAATTATGCTCATGAACCAAGGTTTTATTGTACTTCTTAGTTGTTTAAGTGATAGGTAAAACTGGTGCCAGTGTCTTCATTATGGCTGGCAGTGGAAACTGTCGTGCAGTTTATATCTTAGAAACAACTGATAAATTAGCACAAAGAACTACATATATTTTGGTGTAAGATATATCAATAAATTTTGTTCTATAGTATTTTCTCATCCTCCTTACTTACCTTCATTTTCCCTATTTTCCTTTTCTCTCTTTTATGTTAACTTTCTTAGTATAAATAATGACTCCTAATAATGTGTTACTAGTTATTTCCCAGTATTTCCAATTTTAAAAATTCTTTATGGTATTTTTTAACATGCAGAAATTTTATATTTTATGTAGTCAAATATTTATGCTTCATGGGTTTTAAATTATTAGGAGGGTTCTGTATATATTAAGGTTATGATCATACTTAAATAAATATTTTACAAGTTGTATTATTTCACTTATTACATTAAAATGTTTGGCTCATCTTGAACTTATTTTAGGGAAAAAATATTCAGTCATTTAAATCTGAAATGAAATAAGATGTGTATAAAATCATGATTTCTGTTTTACTTTTGGGAAAGAAACTACTCCTTTTCAGTTGTTTTACTTGTCATTCTTTTTATAAACTTCTAGATATGAAAGATCTGTGCTATATATAATTTTGTAAATTCAGACTTTCTAACACTTTATTTAAAAAAATAAGATTAACGAAGAAGCTAGACCTTCATTTTTGAATATTTCTACTCTACTCTTTGATGTCCATGCTAATTAAATTTTAGAATCCTTAACTTTTATTGTATTAGACTTGGGAGACCTGGTGTTGATTGTTATTGCCAACATGAAAGTGGTGCAGCAGTCTTGCAGCTCCAATTCTTGGTTAATGAGGTAACGATTTTTGATTATTTAAAATTCATAATATACTACTTTCTTTTAAAACGTACACACACACAAACACACACAGACACATATACCATAGAACAGGTTGAGTATCCCTTACATGAAATGTTTAGGATCAGGAAAGTTTCAGATTTTGTTTTTTTGTTTTCTCTTTGTAGATTTTGGAACATTTGAATAAACAATATAATGAACTATATTGGGGACGAGATCCAAGTCACATTAAATTTATCTGTAGGTCATGTGTATCTTAGACACATAGTCTAAAGGTAATTTTATAAAATATTTTCAATGGGCCTTGCATTTTGACTGCAACTCATCACATGAAGTCAAGCTTGGAATTGTACGCTCATTGCATCATGTTCACACTCAACAAATTTCAGATTTTGGAGCATCTAGCATTTTAGATTTTTGGATTAACAATGTCCAAGCTAGAAGTGATACATTCTTTTTACATTATGGTTCTAAATGTTTGAAAAATGTATGTATGCAATATTATTATGGTCACATTTTTCATAAAAGACTATCCTCCTGTACTTATCAAATTATTAAATTTTAAAGGAAAAAATTATAAAAAATCCTTTTATTGCAATTACATAGCATAATATTGTTTTTTTAAACCTAAAGGTCTTTAATTTCTTTACTGTTCATTAAATTTCCTTCTATCCACTCTTTTCTTACCAATTTAAATTTTGTAATCTAGCCTAATCACATATGTTGCTTTTATCTTTAATAGTCTTTTTCAAAATTTCATTAGTACATGTGTGTAGTGCATAATATTTACATTCCTTGTAGTGAGTTGGTACATGTACATAATGCATACTTATTCTTTGTTTTTCATAGATTTTCCCTTTTCTCCCTTCTCCCTTCACTCACCTTTTGATCCCCTTGCTTTTTTATTTTGCACATGTTTGTAATATATAATGTTTAGATTCCCTTTATGAATTGGTATATGTAAATAACACATCTTAATTCCTTTTTTCATCCTCAATCACTCCTTTCTCTCTCTGCTCCCTCCATCTCTTCCTCTTTGAGAAAAATCTCTCTACTTCCTGTTATCTTTTTTTTTTTTTTACTCTTTCGTTTTACTTTTGGCTTCTCATATAAAAGAAATCATGCAATATTTAAACTTGTGTGTTTGATTCATTTTATTTAGCATGATGGTCTCAAAATGCATCCATTTTCCTATGAATGACTCAAACATCTTTCTTCATAGCAGAGTAGTAGTCCATTGTGTGTAATTAACACATTTTCTTTATCCATTTACCTGTTGATAGGCATATAGGCCATTAGCAAGATTTACCTATTATAAATGGTGCTTGTGTAAAAATGGATATGCATGTATCACTGCAATATAATGTCTTTAATATTTTCTGGAAAACACCTAGAAGAAAAGTATCAGGATCAATTGGAATTTCTAGCTTCAGAATTTTTAGGAATCTCCATACTGATTTCCATAGAGGTTGTACTATTTTACATTTGTACCAACTATGTAGAAGGATTCCTTTTTCCCAGTAGCCTCATTAGCATTTGCAATCATGATAAGAAGTAGAAAACATTCTATTCTTTTGTGTTTAATGAAGGATTCATTTATATTTGATTATTATGCTGGATAACATTGGTGTTTTTACAATTGTACTGAATCTAGTTGGAGAAGTATTTTCTTTAATTGCACATATTTTTGTTTATATTAAGTGAGCCTTCTTGGGCATATTAAATTAAATGCATATTTTTAGTAAAAACATATTTTTTCAAATATAAAAAAATTCTAAGGAGAATTTTTATATGTGCTATATTTGATTTATAAAACTGGCATCATATTTGCTTCTGTGTAAAGGTATATAGTATGTATGTGAAAAGTAAGAGCAAAAGTTTAGATTGTATATTTTCTTTAATAGTCACTATGATGTTATGTTAATTATTCCTCTCTACTAGTAAATGGATATTCACTGAACTATTCATTCAAAGTACCAATACACCATAAGTCATTTGGTTGTTCCACTTTCAGCATTCTTAACCTTCCTGTTTGAAGGATATACAGCTGTGCTTCTTTATATTTCTAGATTATATAAACACAAATACCTGTTTAAGGAATGAAAATCTCAATAAATTACCTTGCTAATTTTGCTTTCTTAAATTAAGGAAAACACACACTAACATTGTCTGCTTTTTGTTACAGGGTGCTTTGGTCAGTGCAAGTTCAGATGATACACTTCATTTGTGGAACCTTAGACAAAAAAGACCAGCTATCCTTCATTCTCTTAAATTTAACCGAGAACGGTAAGAACATGAGTTAAACAATTTTAATGTACAACAAAGTTACTCATGGAACAGGTTTTATGTTAACTTGACAGACTTTTTTCATTATCTCAGCAGCTAGAAATAGTTTATTATTTCTTTTATAACAGTTTTTTTTTCCTCAGAGAATGAGTAATTGATAAGTCACCTATTAATGGGAATACCTCCAAGTGTCTTCTAGCTTTAAACCAACTTTTCAGCAATAACATATTCTTTTCTCTGGACCGTGTTACTGAAAACCCATATCTGATATTTTAGGGTCAAGTATACAATGAACATATTTCTATTCCTTTTATCATGTCAGTTACTTTCTGTGCTTTAAATCTTGCCTTTTGCTTAAATACATTTTCTACATTTAAAAAAAAATCAAAGGAAGTTTCAGATATCTAAAATAAGCTGGTACTAACTTTAGAGCAACACTAAATGTCTGAGATGAATATTGTCTATGATGATACAGTAATTTAAACAATTCAAATTCTCTCACTTCAGAATTAAGTATTAATAATAAAAAGAGGAAATTATACCAATACATATGGGAAAATTATTAGATTTATTTATAATAAACTTTTTAATGTCTCTAATATTGGATTCAGTCAGATCTAGAACATAATGCAGATCTGCTTAACTGATATGAAGACATGAAGTAAAACTTGTACTTTAACGCTATAAAATAGGCTTATATTTATTATTTGGGAAACAATGAAACACTTCTCTGTGCATGGGAAGGAACATCACAGGGAAATTTGGAATTAATGACAAGAAGAGAAAGCTGTGAGAAGCAAATTTATCCAGATGAGCAAATAGCGTTCAAATGAAGGAAGATAAATAATGCGGGCAAATATTCACTGGCTTTGGGCCCAAGAAGAGTACTCATTTTATCTTATTGAATGGTAATGGTAGATAAGGAATCACTGCAATATGGGTAGAGGTTAACAAAGTATACTTTTTATAGATAAGATGGGAAAAAGGATGACGTATAAAGATATCCTTTACTATACTTTGTTATTGAGTTCCTCTTGCTGGGACATGACTCAAAGGAGAAAAGGTTTATTTTGCTCATGGTTTCAAAGATTTCAGCCCATGGTTGGCTGGCTCCAAGGCAGAAACATCATGGTAGATGGCAGGGGGAACCCTCACTTCATGGCAGCTGGGAAGAAGACAGAAGGAAAGAGCCAGATACAGATGAAAGATTTGGGGATGGGATGTATTTTCAAAGGTACATCACAGTGACCTAGTTTTCTAACTGGACCCTACCTTCTGATACCCCATTTGACTACAAATTTATCAGTCCTTTAATTGGTTAATGAGATTAGTACCTTTAATACATAAGTCTTTTGGGGATACTTCATATTTTAGACGTAACATACTTCTAGTTTTTTCCTTCTCTTTTTATATACATAATAATAGTTTCAAGTATTCTAAGTAATATTCATGAGTATTACATCTCAGTATTTTAGAATGCAGCATCAGGAGAGTTTTTTGTATCCAGTATTTTTCATAAAGATTGAATTTATATTTTAGACATTTACTAAAACTAGATAGTACTACTTTCTTTAGATTAGACCTAGATTTTATTTTATTTTAAATTTAGACCAGAGTTGTTATACCATTTTTAACATTAAAATATTAATATTCCAATTATAATGCTAATTTTTTCTCTATCTGCTGGTAAGATTTTTTTCTTTTGTTTTAATTCATCGAGTAGATCTGAACCTACAGTTTTGTGTGGATTTTTTTTCTTCACAATTTAAATGCTGAAAGGAATGTTCTGGTTCCTTTTATGGGTCTTTTGGGAGGAGGAAATCATTTGTGGTGATGATTTCTAATTATAATATTATTTGAAATGAAGTAGATTAGTTGGTAGAAACATAAAACAACTGACAGATTTAGGAGAAGTTTAAATACTAAGAACTTTGAATCATTTTAATATTTATAAATTATAATATTTATCTTTTGAGAAAGATACGTATTTTTCATCATGTAATTTGAGAAGTTCACTAACTTGTCATACTTTATTGTAGGAAGGGAAATTTCTACCAATATATCTACCAACGAGGGGTGCAAATCTGTAAAGGAGAATTTAACCACATATTTTTTGGAACAGCCTCCAAACCCTTTGACATTAACTGTTTAATTATATAAAATTTTACATACTC